GTGTGAGTGAGTGTGAGTGTGAGTGAGTGAGTGAGTGAGTGAGTGAGTGAGTGTGAGTGAGTGAGTGAGTGTGAGTGAGTGAGGGAGGGAGGGAGGGAGGACGGGAAGGAGGACGAGGAGGACGAGGAGGAGCGGATACAGAACTAAAAACAAAAACCCCACACGTCAATGTGGGGAATTTGACTTCACCAACAGCGGGGAAAAGAACAGAACTAACCCAAATGATGGAAAGGTCTGGGTGGTTTCAATTTATATATCAAACCAGGTTTAGAGTATAATAAATGAGAATGAATGGTGAATTGGATTGAATTGGATGGAATTGGATTGAATTGGATGGATTCAAAGATGTTCCATGGTCCACTCATAGTTGTGAAACCATCCCTCCGGCAATCTCCGCCCGTCAGGTCAATGGAAATCCCTTGAACACCGAGGTGCCGATGGCTATCCCCACTGGAACACTAATCTGACCCGTTTAACAATCGTGTTTTGGGGGTCATAGATTTGAAGAATCTGGAGTTTGGGTTCCACTGAACCCAGCATTTCCGGCCTGGGGCCTCAACAGAAAGGAATATCAATAGCCTCGGCTGATATCAGGTAAATAATAATCCACTACGCAGCTACATCGTCATTTCCTCTGAAGTGGATCCTTTTCGGATTCGTTCTGCCATCGACATGTCGATCTTCTTATCTTGCTACGGTTGTTGGTGGTTCTGGTAAGGGATTGTCAAATATGGGGGATTATAATCCACAAAACCTCAGCAACCGTTGCTGGGATCATATCTGACCAAGTCATGGATCCTCAAAGGATTCAAACAAAGGCCTTTACAGTTGATGGTAAAAAGCAATGGTTTGCTCTAGATGACTTTTGTTCACCTATAGCGATAGAGGCTTCTAACCCAACTAACCCTCCAAATTCTCTGATATCATCCCAATAGTGAGGGTGCCAACATGCTTTCCATGTTGATTTATAAAGGTGACCCAAATGAGGAAAATGAGAAGAGTGGATTCGGGCACGCCGGTTAAACCCTTCACTTCTGCGTGATCCTAGAGGGCAGTACTCCGACTCCGGACAGATCGGACAGTGTTGGTGTAACAATCCTGTAGAAATCATCATCGCTCGTCCAGCGTCCCGCGTCCAGGGCGGTTGGTTGAAGATCGTTTGGCCTTCCGATGGCTGTCCCGAGGTGACACCAGCGCAGTTCATGTGATGTGCTCTGAAAATAGAAGGAATGCGGGGAAATCTACCCCCTGGTAATTTAACATAGCTATTGAAAATGACCATAGAAATAGTGAGTTTTCCCATTAATAGCATGGTGGATCTTTCCAGTTTGCTTTTTGTATGTTTACCAGAGGGTAACCATTTTTTGAGATTTGAAGCAACAATTTTGTGGGGTTGGTAACCCTTAAAAAAAATTGAGATTTCCTACAGGGGGTAAAATCTAACATAGACCCTGTGTAGGCTGATTTTTGGGGGGTTGGGATTTTCATGGGATGGTGAAGCAAGCAGGAAAATGGTGGTTTAACCATCAACAAATGACGATTTCATGGGATTTCATGATGATAAATCAACCAGAGGTTCTTGAAGTAAACACATTTCATTGTCGAAGTGGCTATCACATGTCACGAGATTCTTCGAAAGAGATATACCCCCTGGTAAACGTTTACATAACTATGGAAAATCACCATGCTATTAATGGGTAAATCCACTATTTGTATGGCCTTTTTCAATAGCAAACTGTTTGTTTACCAGAGGGTAATTATTATCCATAAATTTACCAGAGGGCAACCATTAACCATAGTTGTTATCAGCAAGTGACCACAGTGGGACAGGGCCATGCCAGGCAGAACAGTCTTGGGAGATTCAATCGCCTTTCAGCCTCGGGTGCGGGACGCCAGGAAAATCCAATGGTGGATGGTGAATCCCCCAAATTATATGAGTGTAGCGAAGATTTAACCAGGATATTATGGGATTTAAGGGGATATCCAAAGAATTTATATATATATATGTACATACGTACATATATATATATGTATTATTATATATATTATATATATACATAGATTAGATAGATGGATGGATAGATAGGTTAGATAGATTAGATAGATTAGATAGGTTAGATAGATTAGATAGATTAGATAGATTAGATAGGTTAGATAGGTTAGGTAGATTAGATAGATTAGATAGATTAGATAGATTAGATAGGTTAGATAGATTAGATAGATTAGATAGATTAGATAGGTTAGATAGATTAGATAGATTAGATAGGTTACATAGATTAGATCGATTAGATCAATTAGATCGATAAGATAGATAAGTAAGATAAGTAAGTAAGGTAGACAGATAGATAGATAGATAGATATTAGAGATATTAGAGTTATTTGAGATATTAGAGATATGAGAGATATTAGAGATATTAGAGATATTAAAGATATTAGATATATTAGATATATTAGATAAGTTAGATAAGTTGGATAAGTTAGATAAGTTAGATAAGTTAGACAAGTAAGATAAGTCAGATAGATAGGATAGGTAGGATGGATAGGATAGATAGGATAGATAGGATAGGATAGGATAGGATAGGACAGATAGATAGATAGATTAGATAGATTAGATCGATTAGGTCGATTAGACAGATAAGATAGATAAGTAAGATAAGTAAGATAAGTAAGATAATTAAGATAATTAAGATAAGTAAAACAGATAGATAAATAGATGGATGGATGGATAGATAGATAGATGAGATAAGATCAGATGAGATAAGATCAGATGAGGTCAGATAAGATGAGATAAGATGAGATGAGATGAAATAAGATTGATAAGATAAGATGAGATAAGATCAGATAAGATAAGATGAGATAAATGAGATCAGATAAGATAGATAAGATAAGATTAGATAAGACAAGATGAGATAAGATAAGGTGAGACAAGATTAGACAAGATTAGATAGATAGATAGACAGACAGACAGACAGATAGATAGATAGATAACACCGATAAGATAGATAAGATAGATAGGATAGATAAGATAAGATAAGATAAGATAGATAAGATCAAGAAGATCGATAAGATCGATCAGATCGATCAGATCGATAAGATCAATAAGATCCATAAGATAGATAAGATAGATAAGATAGATCAGATAGATCAGATAGATAAGGTAGATCAGATAGATAAGGTAGATCAGATAGATCAGATAGATTAGATAGATAAGATAGATGAAATAGATGAAATAGATCAGATAGATGAGATAGATGAGGTAGGTAAGATAGATAAGATAAGATAAGATTAGATAGATAGATAGATTAGGTAGGTAGGTAGATAGATAGATAGGTTGGTTGATTGCTTGATTGATTGATTGATTGGATTGATTGGTTGATCGGATAGATTAGATAGATAGATTAGATAGATAGGATAGATAGATAGGATGGATAGATTAGATTAGATTCGGTTTGATTCGATTCGTTTAGATTAGATTAGATAGATAATAGATAGATACATACATACAGAATGTATGTATATATATATATACATACATAATGAAGAGTTCAACAATTGATTAAAAAGTCATATGGGTATGAATCAAAGCCAAACCCTGCTGTTCACCCTAAGATAGCTGGCAAATGGAGGTTCATCCCCCCAGTTTTCGCTTTATAGGTTTTGATCCATCCCCATATCCAGGCAATAATGAAGGTGTATTCAAGCAGAGTGGGGATGAGAATGGAGACGGCAGTTGTTGAAGACTGGCCCCGTGGCACCTTTTTCAGCGCATGGCAACAAATCAGTGTTGTCACCTGAGCAGCAAGAAGCTCGTCGACGGTTGTGTCGTTTGTGGACCGCTGCAAATCATGCCGTGATGCACCGGCACTGCTTGATGTCGATACAGTTGTTGACAGGGAGGGAGGTCGTCAAAATCCATGCTTCCTGGAGGTTGATGCTGAAACGTGTTCTGTGGAGCATCTTCGAAATGCGGCGGCTTACGGATGAACATGAAATAACATGAAAGTGTTTTAGAACGCGAACAACAGGCCTTGACAGGCATTGGTCTGGTGGCGTGGTCTCAGCAAGGAAGATGTGGATTTCAAGACGTCCTTTTATGAGGATTATCTGCATCGTGGCATCATGTTGTCTGATTTTGGTGTGTGTGCCCTATGGGTTTTTTCTCAAAACTGGAGCACCCCTTTTCACCGCTGGTTTTTCTCTTGAGATCAGACAAGAACCTGCATAATTTTTCGCACTCCCCCATTGTGAAAAAACTCCCATATCCAATCCGAATCCTGGTTTATCCAGGTAAAATTGATAAGAAAGGTGTATCTAGGAAAAATTGCGGATGAACCTGTGGACAGGGAGGATGCTCAAAAAATTGACATGTCTCAAACTTTGAGAACAGGCAAAGCCACAAGTCGTTTCTCGGATCTGCACCATGACAATCTGTGGGAACCCAAGTTGATTGTATCAGTTCGTTTCTTTTTCAACCCTACCCCGGATGATTGAAAACATAACATATGGACAGCTGTGAAAAGCTGATGAATGTCGACCTTTTTTTTCAAGAACAAGCAGTGTACATGTTTCCAGTTGGCGCTACGGTGATCTTTTGATTTGTGCATTCGCAACTACAGGGCCAGACGCATCCGATTTTTGGGCCATGCCCATGGAGTAGGTTGGCATTGGATCGTTATTTATATCCCAAGACGACTCAGCTTTCCATCAACATCTTTGGGATGTGAATAGTTGCAGATATGATGGGGACTAGAGTTGCATATTTGGGTATGGGGTAGCAGGGTTTTTCATTCATGTCCAGTGTGGGATATCTATGGTTCAAATTGATGAAGTTTCTGGAGAGTTCACTGAAAATTGACAGGATGGCGGCCTTTTAGGTAGCCCATTGTACTTCCTGTTGTTTGCATTAGGATGTCCATATTTAGAAAAAAGGATGCCCAGGATCTAGATGCTTGGTGATATTTATCTTCGAAACCAGTGAGATCCAAAAATTGAATCACAGCCGGCCTGTTTGTTGGCAACCTCCAGGATACATTCACTAGCGATATTCACTTGTGATGGATGCTCCTAACAAAGATTGGAGTCTCCCATGGTGCCAACCCCAGATTAACTAGACCTGTTTGTTTGATTGTTGAAATCAAGAAATTGCAATGTGATTCCCTCCCCCTTGCTATAAGTTGGTTTATGAAGCCATTTGAGCATAGATATATCCATCATAAAACCACATCCCACTAGATACCCTCTGGTAAACTAACATAGCTATGGAAAATCACCATTTATAATGGGTAGATCAACTACAAATGGGCCAATTTCCATAGTTATGTTAGTTTCCCAGACGGTAGATTTTCCATTTTTTTGGTGGCAATGCGCAAACAGGCGCCCGTTGAGCGCCTCGCCGCAACGTTGGTTGCGCTACAGCATGGCCAAAGTCCCCATGGCTGGGAGGTGTACCCGGTGTGGTGGGGCAAGGCAGAAAAAAATGATTTACCCTCTGGTGATTTAACATAGCCATGGAAAATTGCCCATAGAAATAGATGGTTTACCTATTAATAGCATGGTGATTTTCTATAGCTACGTTAAATAACCAAAGGCTAAGAACCACAATAAACGGTCATTTATGGTGATTGAATGGCGATTAACTATGAAAAATGGTGGATTTACTTATGATTCGACCATGAATTTCATGCGGGAAGGCATGTGGCTCGAACCAGCAAGTTGCTGGTTGAACCATGAAAACTTGTGTTTTGACCGGTAAATGTTGGTTTTAAATTTGATCAACAAATATGTGGATTCGCCTGAAAGTGAGATATACCTCAATACCCCCAAAGTAGCCACCTTGAATAACGAAAATAGTGATGATAAACCTGAAAAAGGCTATCCTATTTTCCGGCAAAGCCCTGATTTAAGCATCAGAAATGGTGGTTTTTCCATCAAATTGGCAGCCTTAAATGGGGATGGACCACGCGTAACAAAAACACCATTGCGACAATGGGCAACTGGCACCATGAACCGGCGGCCTGGAGGTCCTCGTGAACGAGAACTGTTTGGTTGCCAAGTGTGGTTTAATCCCACCTGGCTCAATAGGGATACTGAATTAACCCACGATAATGTATAGCAATACCAGAAAATTCCGATCAGGATTTCATGATGGGATCATGCTGAAGTGATTCTACAAGGGTACAATGGGAGATTCTACCCGTCCAAGAATTTG